AAAGACTTCTGAGTTCTGGTGCATTTGTGCGTGCGGGGGTCATTATGTTATCGCTATGCGGTATCTAGTTTTAGTTAACTAAAATGTTTTTTCAATTTCAGTTTTTGTTTTTTAGTTAGTTTTCGTTAAATATAATAATCCTGGTCAGTATCTCCTTTTCAAACAAAAAGCAAACAGAAAGACTACAGAAAGTACACCACCTGTAAAAATACAGTAAAGATTGGTTCATTATCTAAATGAACCAATAACTGAACTGTGAATAGTTAAATCAACAACAGAAGATAAAATTAAGCTATTGATTTTAGCATTTAGTATGCTAATAAAATTTAGCAGAACTGTTGCTAAAATCTAAAACAGGCTTAAAAAGTCAAAACAGAACAAAGTAAGCTTGAGTAGATCGTAAAGAAACGTTTTTTTGAAGGAACAGATGGAATTTCAATGTAATTCCATAGGAAAATATTTGTAAATAAAGCTTAAATGTTCAAAATGTAAAACTTATTAATGCTGAAGTCATGGCGGCACACTGTTTCAGATTCATCAGAATGTTTTAATAAAGTTGCATAAGTATCTTGATTGCACAAAAACCTAAAGGAGAAACCCACATTCAGAATGTTGTTTTCTCTCTTCCTGTTCGTGCCTCTGGAACCAGGCTGCCCTTCCATTCAGCAGTGCACAACTGAAATAGCGTTTCACTTCCTGCTGCCGTCCATCCTGACGGAGATCGTCAGTTTGGTCAGCTCGTTGGCAAACGATACCACAGTGAAGGCCTTTGAGAAGACCAGGTGAGTATTTGTGCAGGAAGCTTCAGCTGAGAACCCAAGACCAGAGGTCTATAAAATACTTGAAAAAAATAACTACGTAAAAGTTAAATTACATGAACAGAAAATGACTTTGGTAAAAATAAATTTCACTGATGAGAAAACTACTCAAGTAAAATTCATAAAACTGTTCACAAAAATTACTAAAGTAAAGGTAAAAGTACTTTTACACACTTTCTAAGAAATTGTTGAATTTACTGAACCAAACTGGCTCCACTAAGCCAGGTTGAGTAAACTGAGCGATATATATATATATATCGCTCAGTTTATTCAACTAGGCTTAGTGGAGCCAGTTTGGTTCAGTAAATTCAACACTTTCTAAGAAATTGTTGAATTTACTGAACCAAACTGGCTCCACTAAGCCTAGTTGAGTAAACTGAGCAAATAATATACATATATATATATATGTATA